GTCCTTCTTATAAAGCGAAACCCTAAACTCAACGTACCTCACTCACTCTAACTATTCTCATCTCAACGAAGAAAAGAAAAAAAAATTAACTCACTCGTGGATGTTGAATGATGACGTCTTTAACAGGAAAAGAAAAACATGAATATAAAAGATCCCAAGAGGACTTACCACCCTCTGTATGGTCAAATAAAGAAAAAAAAATAATTGATACCTACATTCTTTTATTGTGTTGTATTGATTTGAATTGTATAATTTTGTATCGTCGAAATCATTCTAAAATATAAAAAGAAAAGATTAGAATTTGATTCAATAAATTGAATGATTTTACATAGAAAATCATTCATATTTATATGTTAAAAATCGATAATTTTGTCTTTTTTTCTCGTCAGAGAGTGATGAAAAGATGATAGTAATTAAGCTATCATCAACATATACACATACATTGAGATAAATTCAATCACAAATATCTCAATGTATGTGTATCAGAGACCGTCACAGGGCAGTTTTTTTATGTCCTGTCCTGTCCTGCGCCCTGCCCTGCCCTGCCAAAATGATGATTCATAATATTTTTTTCTGTCCTGCCCCGCCCTGAGGGCAGGGCAGGGCGGCCCTGAACTTGGAAATCCAGCTTAAATGAGGAAATATCTGATAGCTTTAAAAAACCTCGTAATGGTAAAGTTTTAATCATTTGTTTAATTCGATCCGATTGAAAGTTATTTGTATCGATGAAGTTGAAGATGGAGTGACAGTAGGGATCTCAATATGTGTCTACCTTTCATTTAGTTTATGCGTAAATTAAGTGGTAAGTAATTTATATTTATTGTAAATATAAATTATTTCGTTACAAAGTTTATATTACAAATCAATATGAATTCTAATAATTTACAACGATTTGTAAATATAAATTTTGCAACAAAATAATTTACATTTATAATAAATATAAATTTCTTACAATTCATGTTTATTATAAGGTAAACAGTAAATGACGCCCCAAAGTAAAAGTGATTTATTATGATAATAATGATATTGTTTCCGAGTTCAGTGCTGAAAAATATTTATCAACATGTTGTTTAAAACATTTTTCACCACTCATCGTATTGTAAACTTGATTACTAGTACATTTGAAACCACTATGAAATTCAGGAATTCTTTCTAACTGATGATTACTTAATTATACTGGATAACCAAATACTCTTCACCATCTAACAGCAGGTGAAGATCCGTTCTTTATTATTTGATATTTCGATCTTTCAGTCAGTAATCGATATTTAATCGTTGCAGTATCGAATGAACTCATAATATATGACGGCAGATTAAAATATCGAAGATAGAAAACTCAATGAAATAATTGAAACTAGAAAATTTAACTAAAAAATTTGAAGAAACTGGAACATTGGCATGTTTTTAAACTTTTATATGAAGTATGCTGTACAAAACTACGGTCATTTATGAAACTATTTGGAAGAGGAATATATGAATATACTTGACAAAAAAACTGAATTTTTCTCTTATATAATTCTGCATCATTGTGAAATGCTTTTTCTTTCGTCTTCAAACCATCTGTATGTTTCTATGCGAAATATAAATGGATTATATGATGTCCAATATAATAATAAAAAATTGTTCCAACTAGGTACAATGCCAAAAGTTATGATAGTCAGTTTATAGCGATATCAATTACAATTGCTCATAATATCAACATATCAAAATTATTTACTAGAAAATCTGTTTCAAATAACTGTCTCGAGAAAAAAGAATAACAGGGCAAAAAAATTTGCCCTGCCCTGCCTTTAGGGCAGGACACCAGGGCCGCCCTGCCCTGTGACGGTCTCTGATGTGTATGGAATAATGCTTAATTGACATACACAATCATTATGTCATATTATCATTGATCATCAATGATAACCTGAACAATGACAACTTATGGACGAGAGAAGAAAAGAAAAAAAAAATATTGTCGTGACCTATATTATTTTTTCATTCTTCCTTGCTTCCATACTCAGTTGTGAACACGAAACAGACGAGCACACAATATTGAAGTATGTTCATATCATTCACTTCTTTTTTGTTCTGTTCGATAGATCAACTTTGGGATATCAACAAACAGTTTATTTTATTTTAATTCAATTTAGAGGAAATTATTGAAAAATGATCGATATTGGGTTTTAACAGTTCATTCAACATTAAATTTATTTGCTGCTGGTAAGATTCTTTTCATTTTCAAAAATTAAAAGTAAAATAAAACATTTGTTTGCTAGGTCATGATAATCAAATATTCACGACGATTGGAAATTAGAACATCAAAAGGTGTTCCTCTTATATAGTTACAAAGGTAAATTTTTTCAGAATTTTTTAAAATAAATTAATTGTTTTATTTTATTGGAAAATACTGTTAATGGTCCACGTTCGAAAGATGCTAGTGAATCAAGAAACTCAATATCAAACTCTGAATGATATGATTTATTCGAATTGAAAGTCAGGATTTTAAAAAGGTCTAACATTTCAAAAAGAAAAAGATATTTTATTTAAATTGTTCGATACTTTTAATGTATATTCTTTTCTCGTATGTGAAGGTCGTCGTTCATCTGATTTAAATGCCATAAGGGTTGTTTTAAATCTTTTTTTATGGATTTTAATACAACAAAAAAAATTTAATTAATAGATTGTAATGAAAATTTTTATGCTGATAGAGGTCTTGATTAATTCGTGAAAATGATCATATTAATATATATATAGCTTAACAAAAATGTTCATTAGCAAGTGTAAGAAAAGGCAAAGTTAAATATACAATGTGGTCAAATGATACGAATTACTTATCATTATTAGGATGATTCAGGTGTTTTTCTTCATACAACATTAAATCATATGAAGTATGCACTTATGAATGGTGATTATGAAATTATTCATATACTTGATTTATATATTTATATAACAAAATTTAAAGTAATAGAAAATATGAAGTAAAATTTACAAATTTCTTTTCATAAATCTTCATCTTGAAAGCAAATGATGCAAAAACAAGATTTGGCTTAGCACTTGAATATAGAAATATTGATGTAAATTATTTGCGGTTTTTTTTTAAATAGTTTCAATTATCTATTTTTTGAAAAATGATGAAAATTGGTTTGAAAAGTTTCTTATTGTTTTGATTTTAATTTATTTTTTTTGTTTAGCTGAAGTACGAAAAGATGTTAGTAGACGATTTCAAATTGCATCAAAGTAATACTTTATATTTTTTCTCTATGAGATTGATTTATATTGTGCCTTTTTTTATACAATAGGATCATTTGATGAAAAAGTAATTTATTATGGATAAAAAGTCCTCTCATGTTAATACTTCGTCCGAGAGGGTTAAAAAAAAAATTAAAGCAATTTAGAAAGTTTTATTTTTCGTTTTCTAATATCTTCAATTGAAAGTCTTGAAAACTAGTTATAGGTTTTCATGTAAATATACCAGTTTATTTGAGATATAAAATATTTTTTAAGAATCTTTAATTATGTCCAGCACATCATTTATCTAAAGAGTTTTCTGTACTGTTGTATAAAGAAGTTTATGATGATTCTGGAAGTTTATTACGACATTGAATGATAACATGTTTTTTTTTAAAGATATTTCAAATAATCACCATGTCATAGCTAGTTTAGTTTATTTTCTCTGATTGATATTCATTAGAATGTAGATTAAAAACAGAATAAGAAGACTTCATATTCTGTTTCAAAAAAGGAATAATTTGGTAGACTGAGATTTTAACAAAGTTATTACTGTTACTTGTTCTTTGTTTAATTGATATGTTAGATATGAAATAATAAGATAAACATACATTTAATCAATATTAATCTCGTGTTAAATTTAGTAATTCAAAATAAAATATTTATTTTAGTTACCTGTAATAAATCTAAATGCTAAATTAATTTTACCACCATGTCCAATAAGTCAACAAGAATCAAAGCAAATTTAATATCAAACATAACAGCAAAACTTGCTTTAAATCTTCATATGCATGAAATAGCAACAAGTGGTGGAGATTGGGCTGATAATAAACTACAAATTGAAGGTGATGAAGATGATTTTAATAAAGAAAAGCTTAATAATAATTAAGATACCATCTGATCTTGTATGTTTTCATTCAAATGTATAAATTATTGGTTTATTTAATAAATATTTTTAAATTTTTATTTTAATTATTAAGGCGTGATGTACGTTCACCAAAATTATTTTATCTAGCAGTTGGATTTAAATCAGAAAAATTAGTTGGACGTTGTCAAATCGCTTATCGTTTAACAAAAAAATGGAAAATTTCAAGGTCAACAATGATTTGAAATATGTAAAGAATATATTGTTGATTTACAAATTTCAATGGCAAAAAAAGATTTAGCAAAAGATAATGAAAAACGTTCATGTGAATTATCTGCTGATTTTACTCATTTACAATTACAACCAATACATAAAATCATGACATTAAAATTTGCACTTAATCAAGTATTGTGAATTAATTTCTCAGGTCTACTAGTAAAGAAATCTTTATAAAAACATAGCTATCTTTAATGCACTCAAAGATATGTCATATCTGTTGATCGAAGTTGTTCATGTTTTTTTGATTTATTTGAAACAATTGAATTTATTCTTTGTTAAATGAAACATAATTTTCGTTCAATTACTTTAGAAGACGGACAAAAAACAAATAAAAACTTTATTATTATTTTGTTTAGACACAGAAAGTATTAAGTGTTTGTGAAAAGAATCCAATTGATGAACATCCATTAAATTCTGATGAATATAATCCATTTAGTATTTGTGCAGCATCCTATATACCACATTTATCCGTATGAAATTTAAAAATGAAACTGAATTTAATTTAAAGTGATCTTTAATTGTTGTTTAGTGAAAATCCATTATCCGGTGCAGTCCATTTATCGGAATTTATAGGACAATTATGTCGAGTTACAAAAGCAACTGAAATTGGAGTTCTAATTCTATTATCATTATTATTAACTTTTAATGCATATATTTATCATTTTGAAAAAGTAACTTATCATAAGTTCACTTCAGTAGCCACTGAAATTCTATGATAATGTATGAATAAATAATCTCAATTTATGAAACGATATCAATGCAACTGAGTACTTTATAATTGTTTCAGAAATTTTAGCGACATGATTTCATTTGATATTTGACCTTTGCAATATCTCGATTGACTCATTCAATTGGTAACCTACTCGCATCTATTCAATATTTATACCGGCAGCTTTTTTCTTGCTCAACTTTACTAAACATATTGAAATTCAAAACAATTGATTCAATTTACAATAAATGATTATTCACATCAAGAGAAAAAAGAATTTTGATTCATTATCAAACTGTTAAAAACCTTGTAAACAACATTGATATGTATTATATTCACTAATAATGATCTAGTTATGCAAACATTACACTATATAATTAAGTCATTAATAAGGCTAAGCGATAATAAATGTCGAAAGATATACATTTTTTTTTATAGATTTCATATTTCAATAAAAATAAAAATGAATATTCAATGGTTTATTTTTCCGAATTGAAAAAATCTTCTTTGATTTCGATCGACTTTTCTCCTGTTTCTCTACTATAGAACTTTTATAATTATAACAATGAAATGAGAAACAACACCATCGGGAAGGTGCATTATTGAAAAACAAATACAATAATCATAAAATCAAAATGAAAATAACAAAACTGAAACAATGAGTAAAATATGTGAAGATAAACATCATACAACAGTAAGACTATATGGTAAAATAATTTGAGAATATGGAAATGCAACAATAGATGAATTAGATCGAATTGATTCATCATCGAATGATACTAATGATCAACCAATTATTGGCAAGGAGAGCCGAAAGAAAATATTATTAAAGTTTGTTTTTTTGTATTTTGACAAAAAAACATCTAGTTGTCTCGCTGCTTTGTTACTTAATATATTTTATTTTTTCCACTTTGTCAAAACTGAGTGTCTTTTCCAATTGAAAATAGACTTGTCCACAACAACGACAGAAAAAAAAGAAAAAATGTGTCAATTCAGATTGGACTAGCATTCGATAGCTTATAAACAACTAGACAAAAACTTTTTTTTCCCTAAACTTCATTTACGATTCATTCACACATTAGAATATCGATTTAATCTTGAGGGGTAGTTGTGGATGTGTATCTTTTCTTCTGTCACAAGTATACACCCCACATCCACCCAAGTATCAATTGCTATTTTACATGAAAACATCGATGAAAAATAAGTTGTAAAGAATTTTCTATGTTGTTTAGATAGCATATCATATGTAAAGAAATGAATTTTCAATATATCCTGCTTAACCATTACGTGATCTTAGTTTATTGGTTTTTTTCGGCGCAATTTATTAATGATAATCAATTGAAACATTTATAGATGATCATTTTATTTGTTATGTATAAAATACAAAAAATATTGTGTAAGTCAAATGATCGTTTTTATGAATTTTCAATCGATGAAGTATTAGTTGGAAAATTAAATAGTTAGATAGAATCTGTCGAGTCATTTCTGAAAATATTGTTTTTTGATAGACTCAAACAATGTTATTATGGCGAAAACTAGATTCGCAAGAAAGTATTAAATCTTTTTCTGTGATATTTTTGTATTTTATTCATATTTAGATAAAATACATCTATTTCATACATTTAAAAATTCAATTTTATCACCTGTTATCCATAGGAGTCGAAATAACAATCGAAGTATAACAGAAAATATAAACATAATTAATATGTTTACCAATTTTCAGTATTTAAATTTTGTTTCATCGTCATTTTGGTATCAATTATTATTATTTCATAATTCACCGTCAGCTATTTTCTCATCAAATCTATTAGAATCGCACGTTAGTTCGGATAATTTCATTGACTGTTGTTTTTTTTTACTTGATAGTATATTATTTAATATCTAATTAAACGAGTCAATAATATTATTTTTTTTAAGAAAAAACTCCCTAAGTTAAGATGCTTCGTACAATTCTTTGATCTGGTTCTATATAGATATGATGAATTAATTGTACCATTTCTACATCGAATGTTAAATTTAGAAGAAGAACTCAGTTTGAAGAATATTATTGATCATATAGCACAATTAAATAAATTTATATCTAATATTCATTCAATCATTCATTGATCTTGATAATCAAATTATTACTTGTGTTGATTATTTTTCAGAGGCAGTGGAAGGTCGATATTATATTTATTCATATTCATATACATTGAAAAAGTACAATAAGATAACAAATAATTTTTCAGGTGGATTATTTGAATGTGTTTGTGAAATATCGTTATTTGATGAACAATTTTTTAGACATGAATTTTTTCTTTATATATTGCTCAATCATTTCCATTAATGAAAGAATTAACTTTCGGTAATCAAAAAGCACAAAAGAATAAATAATCTAGAATATCAAAAGATGATGATCAAGATTTCTCAATTGTTCAATATTCTCATCTTAATGATCTCAATCTATATGAAGTTCATAATGATTATAAATGTTACACACAGTTTTAAAAGAGATGCAACATGGATTAATTGTTCAAAAATTATTTTTTTGAATACACATCTAATTGTAAACTTAAACGTTTTAATTATTTGAAAAAATAGACAGTAAACTTGAGTTTTAATATTATATCGCTTCTTTTAAATGATGTTTTTCAAAATCATTTTAGTTATAGACTATTCATTTTTGTAGTGAGTAAATTTTTATAAACGTAAGTTTTATATAATTGTCTATCTAATCACTAGTATGTTACATTCTAGTATTGGAAAAAAGAAAATTTTGAAAATATCAGTTTTATCCTGAAAGTAATAGTTTATTTGAAAATTTTTCAAGAAATGAAATTTATCACAAATTTAATAAATGTTTCCAGAGCAATAGAAATATTGAAAATACTTTTTTATTAAATCAATATTATTTGGACAAATTTTTCATTAGTTCTTTCATCATTACTCAACTATTACAAATGTTTATCTGATGAAAATGAATTAATCTTATTCGATAAATTTCAATTATTATCTCGTTCATTTTTCTTTGAAAACTTTCAAAAATATATAATTTATTTAATTTTATCTCAAATTATTTTTATTCGTTTACTTATGCATCTTTGTAAATGACTTCGATGATCCACTATAATTTATGAAATCTCTCATCTATCAAATAATGCAAATTATTCAATTCGACATTTAGAAATAGATCTATTACAAGATAGTAAAAAATTTAACTTTATTTTACAAATAATATTTAATGAGATTTTTTTTCAAGTTTGATGATTAGATGATCCTGATGCAGATCTTCATTTATTAAATAATGATGAAATATGTGAGTTTTGTAAAATAAAACAATGCTTCGTTCCTCAATAACAATCACGATTATCTATTATTGAACAAGTTTGGTATTTAATCAAAATTTTCGAATAATTAATTTTATTATTCAGATTACAACGAATAATAATTGAAAATGCATTTACTCTTCTGTCAAAAAGATTTTTTTTTTGTTCATAGAAATTTGTTAATAAAAATTTATTTAGATATAAACAATATTTTTAAATAACTCGTGAACAACTCAAACTGTAAGATAAATTAATTAATGAACTTAAAATCTTCTGTTTTTATCTGATTATGTTCGTGCTCGAAATTTTATCTTGATTAACTGAAGTATTACAATTAACGTAAAATTATAATGAATCAATGGAATTATTATACAATAGTTATTAGGTGATTTTTTTCTTTAATTTTTTTTTTGTTCTATTTGAACAAATTAATTCAGTTTAAATCGACAAATGTATAATTGACATCATTATAGTAAATTATGGAATCATTTAGCACTTGCTAAAGTAATTAATTGTCCTACAGCATGTGAAAGAGCAAGAAGATTTATATTCTCGACCGAAATCAAAAGAAATACTTCTACTAGCAACATCGGTAATAGATGAACACGAGAACTCATTATGGAATGTACCAATGCTAAAAGAAGTTACATTTAATTTAAAAATTAACTTTTGATTTTGTAAACCAGATTGAAGTTATATACTGGTCGTTTATTTCGAAGAAGTAACAAAATTAATCAGAGAATTGCAGTGTGAAAGTGATCATGAAAATATAGTTAGAATATTCAAAGAAATTACCAAGAAAAATTGGGAATTATTTCCAACAAAACCAACATTATTAGTAAGAATATTTATTCTCTTATTTCTTATTTTGGGTGTGGGTATAGATACTGTCTTCATCCACACCCACACCCTATTATATCAAATATTATCGAAGGCAGATAATGAACCATTTTAATCAACATCGTTGTAGTCAAATGTTGAATATGGTTTGCATTTTTGATGACACAACAATTTCATTTATTTGCAATGTTTTTTTTTTTATAGTGAATTACGAAATATTTTATTTGTCATTTTACAATAATATCATCAAGAAGAATCTTTAGTACAAAAAAAAATGTTTTCTGATGTTATCTCATCTGAAATATTTAGACTACGTGCAATGGGTGAATTATAAAGAAATAATATGATAACATTTTTCTTTATTCTTTTAGATGTTTATTTTCAGCTGTTATTGGTAGTATTGTCTGACGAATTTCAAGTAAATTTTATGTCAAATATGAACCAACTTGACCACTGCCGACGGTACAAATACATATAACTGATGTATTTAATATAGACTTGTTAGTAACTATTGAAAGTGATTGTCGAATAAGATGATATACAAACAACATCGGATAACATGAGTAAGCATTGATGAGATATTAAAGATATAACTCTAGAAAAAATATTTAGCATAGTTTCT